GAGAGATTTTTTGGATTTAAAAACTGTAATGATTGCATAATGTAAAGCTGCATAATGAAATCTAAAACTTCAGTGGTTTGTAAAAGTTATTTCTATGTCATGAATGTCAAGTTTTGTGTTAAACTTCAGTCAGTACAGTCTTTTTTTTGTGTTGTCTTCACGTTGAGGGTGTTTCAGACACACAGTATATGAAGAATAGCCACAGTAAATCACTTTTTAAGCCAAACAATAGTTTGTGAGTCTGTTGGTAATTGAATGTCATCCTCACCCACAAAACATTGCCCTTGTAGCTAATAAAGTGGATGCATTATGGGAGCAACAAGTTCCCTTAGGTAGATGATAGTTTAGAAAATGTGGTTTGATTCGATTTTTATTTCCTTGCAAGAACTTATTTCAACCTTTGTGTGTTTAATCTACTTCCAGCTAAAGACGCTATGCAAGATGGCCGATCTCCCATTATTATTGATAACACAAACATCCAAGCTTGGGAAATGAAGCCATATGTCAAAATGGTGGGTATGGGATTTTACATATAATTGTGCATTAAGTTATGATGTACTAAACCTTCATAGATTCTAATAAAAATGCCTTTTTTAACAGGCTTTGGACAGAGGATACAAAGTGGACTTTTGTGAACCTGACACCAGCTGGAAGTTTGATTGTTACGAGCTAGAGAAGTAAGATTTCTTAATTATCACATTACATTTACATGAAATTGCAGACAACGTATAGAACTTACCACAATGCCCTGTTCTCCCTCCAGGAGGAACAAGCACGGCGTTCACCAGGAGAAGATCGCGCAGATGATGGATCGTTTTTCATTCCCAATATCCATAGACATCGTCATGAGTTCACAAGATCCGCACCACGTGAACCAGAGACGTCGACCAGAGCAGCCTCAGATGATGATGAGGAAAGACCAAGATTACCGTTAGTTTTTACAGGAATTTAACCAGCCAAATAATTCGCTTTGAAGAACAAACAGTTTTGTAATGGCGTGAACATTTCTAGTTGCTCCCTGATTTTTAATATATTTTGTATACTGTAATTTTACACAATGAGAGAAGAAATTTATTTTTTCTGAAGAAGTTTTCAAGATTGAATTGTTTGTAACATCTTTGCTAGGAAAGGAAATGTGCTTTTTCTTGCATTTTATATTAAATAAAACCTTTTAACTTTAAAGATTAAAACCTGTCCTTTTGCAGTTTGTGTGTCCTGTGCAATATGAAACAACATGGAAAATCAAAAGGTTGCCCTCATCTGCCTCATGTACGTTTTCTGTCTTTATTGATAAACCACAAGTCGGATAATTTACCTCTTCAGTCATGCCAACATGTTTCTTTTTTTAAGGAAAGGAACTGTTTTCTGCTGATGAAGTGCACCAAAAGCTCTATTTTCTATTTTGCTCCCAAAAGTGCCCAATACCTTCTAGTGCCACATTTAAATTTTGTGAGTTTGTTAAATATTGTGTTCTTTATACAACTACATAGGAGACAAACTGTATTGTCATTATAATGACTTCTTCCCTGTGAGTGATGCATCAATAATCTGTGCCTATGAATAGATTATTTTGTATGCGTGTGTAAGTGTATGTCTGTATGTTGTCAAAGTATTTTCCTTCACAAAACTGTTTTCAGGGGAAATCTTTTAGGTTAGACATTAGTATAGTCACACCTCACATGCCAAGTAGGAAAGCTTTTATTTATTTATTTTTACCTATTGGGCTGTTTCTGATTTCTTTAATCGAAAAGTTCACATTTTTTTCAAGTCACTGAACACTGAGAGGTTTTTCTTGCTGGGATCATTCTTCCTGTTCACACTGGCCATGAAGAGATACCTTCCTTAGTATTTTCTTTGAAAGTAATGAGGGGGACAAAATCCCCAGTCATCATTCCTTGCAAAAATGTATTCAAAAACAGTCTGAGTTAGACAAATCAAGTAGATATCTTCCAAAAAATGTTTTTAGTATAAAATTCCCTGTTTGTGTTCCCCAAACATTATTTCTGTGTTGCAGTATAAGGAAAAAATGGAATTTTGTACCAAGAGTTAACTTGGGAACATAGTCACTTGATTTGTTGAACTCGGACAGCTGAAGGCTAACATAAGCTTCAGATGAACTTTTGAATCCATTTTTGCACAGAAGGAGGAATGTAAGTGACGTGTAAGCGCACTGGATGCAATTCAGAAGGGATCTTTCAGTAGCCAGCATGAAGGGGAAAAATGGTGGCAGCATGGGCACCTGTCTATTGTTGTTAGACAGACCTGAAAAATTGTGAACCTATCCTTTAAAGGTAAAGGCTTTCTGTGAGTGGGTCCAAGTTGTGTTTGTCTTGTAAGGATGCACAGGCTCACAAAACGATACGCATTCATGCTACAGCCAAGATATGCAGCGATGTGCCGGTTAAGGCAAGGAGGAAGACTGCTTTCTACTAAACATGAATGTAAACAGTACGGGTTTCAGACTTTTTAAAGAACAATCAGCATTGCAAGTGTGTTATGAGGAAGCAATACATTCATGACCTTATTTGTTTGACCTTAAGGACGCCCACAGTGTGTTTTGGTAGGTAACAATGAAGGTAAACGTAGCTTTTGTTTGTTTGCAGAAAATACCACAGGGCACTTTTTAGGTTATGGGCTAAAGCATGAAAGTGAAGAAATGGTAAATGTCATGAGACCTGTTGGCCAAAGCAGAGTAACCCCACTACACCTGCAATAAATTACTGTGGGAAAATGATGCATACAGACCTCATCACAGTAAAAGCTCTGATAGAGAGAATAACAGTGAGTGTGGAGAGGTCTGTGTCTGAGAGCATTCATTATTGAGTCTCGCAGGAAATCACATTTTGCCTTTGTATTCCCTCTGGGGTTCATTAAAGCTGCACACAGAGGTGCTGTTTTGTTGACTTTATGTTTTTTCCAGTCAGTGACATCCTGTGGAGAGCCAGGAATTATTCTCTGGACTTCAGACTGTTTACACAAACGCACATCTCCATTCGAGCATTAAACATTTGATCCAGTTGGTTTGTAATTCTAGAAAATGGATGTAGATGGCTGAACTCTTTATATTTTTATGTCATTGTCTAATAGTGGAAAGCGTTCCATGTTAGACAATAGTGCATTTGTGATATTTTTCTGTGGAGCTTCATGTGACAGATCTGGGTTACCTTTCCTGTTCTCCGCTTCACATTATGCAAAGCCACTATGTCATGTTTAAAAATAGCAACAAAAGAGATGAACACTGACAATTCAGTTTTAACTGCAGTCTATCTGCTGAAGCTTACAATTGATGTTTTTTTCTTGAGGCTGTCAATGGTCAGGCTTGAGTCTTATATTGTTATTAAGCAAATGTGCTTGTTAAGTCTCATTTAGCTCGAAGGTGAGGGTCTATTTGTGATCACATGTCCTCCTCTTTCTCATTTGGTTTCTAATGTGTTATCTCATTATTTTCCCCCCGCCACATTACCTTACTATATTGTATGGCCATTACGTTGCATTCCATTAATTTATCCACCTCCTGTTTAAAAGACTAAGACATAGCTTTCAGCTGCACTTTGATCTTGACAGCCGTGCACTTTTCAGCCTTTGTCTAATTGGTTTTTGAAAGTGTTTCACCAAAAAGCTGCGATTTGCTGAGGAGCACGGTGATCCCTCCACCAACAATGAAATTTCATTATGATAACAATGAAAGTAGTTCATGTTTGGTAATCTTCAGTACATTTAAACATGAGTGAAAAGAGTAATTATTTGCTGCCTCTTGGTGTTACAAGGTTGGCTGATGACTCAGGCTGCAGTATACATTGTACTTTTGTCCACAGCTTCCTGTCCTTTCTCTGGAGCTTTAATAACACGGCACTGACCGTAATCTACAGAATCCGGAGCTAATGTGCAAGCCAACTTTTAGTAGTTTAAGTAAATAATGTGTTTTTTCTGCGGTATAGGTAAGGTGTAGGATGCCACGGTATAGATGATTTAGGAAAATGTGTTGCAGCCTGAATAAGTCAGTAATAGTCATATTAATAGTCAGTTTTGTGGAGAAACAAAAGGCATGATTTGGAGTTATAGTGACCTAATCTGCAACCGGTACACAAATACTTCTGAGTACTCAAGAAGATATTTGAAACAAAGAAAGAAGCATTTTCAATTTGGCCTGGCAAACACGGTAAAGTGATGTTACATATGAAGTGCATCTATATCTTTAAGTACATGCAGACAACTTACAATTTATAAAACAACAATAATAAACATTTTATAATTTTCTGACTTAGGGTCACAGGAACACTTAGAAATATAAAATCCTCATTATTCCAAATAATTAGTATCAAATTTGTCTTGCATTAAATGCTATGAGGGTATTTTGTGTAAGTGATTCATTCATGTAAATGAATTGTTTGTATAGAGGCTTTTAATACACCTAATTGCAAAAGAGTGTCATTGGTAAGTTATAAAAAGAGATGCAAGGAACATGAAAGAAAACAGACAAGAAAGGCACTTTGGCATTCATTTCATTGATATTTCCAAATCCAATCATATCTCATAAATAAAAGCTCATCAGATCCTGATAAATAAAATTTGGCAGCGGCCCCAAATCCCTGACTTTTATAGATAAAAGGGCTCAGCTGTTTAGTTTGGTCCCCCTGAGATAACGGTGACCTTGTGGAAAAGAATTAATGTGGAGGCAGTTTTAAAGGAGCTCTCAAATTGGTTTATCTTCCATCATGTGGATGGCCTCTCTTCTCCCCAGTGTTATTTTAGTTTGAGTCATTGTGAATTGATTGAACATCTTATTTTATTGGAATCTTATTGGAAACAGCCAAAATGAGTTATTCCTGTAATTATAAACATTTTAGTCCCAATTTTCCTTTTCAGTAACAGATTTTGTAGACGATGTGGTTTGTATTTTCTTCATAAAACAGTGCCCTTCATAGACATTTCAGAGGCTTTGGTGGCCCCCATCCTTCCCAGATATCTAATACAGAATGAATTCATCTCTTTGCAAATCAAATCAAGAATGCCATTATGTTCTCAACAAAGAAGCAGGGTGTTAGCTGCCTTCTACCTTTAAAGTAAAAGCTTTGACCATTGAAATCTCAGAGATGTTCAGCACCCTAGACCCTGATAAAGCCTCAGTCTGTACATGAGCAGGAGCATTGGACACTCTGACAGGGTTGATATGAGCTGCTTGAGGAAATGAACAGCTCATTTCCACAGAAAAGCTTGTAGTTAACACGGTGCCCCTAAAACAGTAAGTTTGCATCCTTCACACAGGTTATCTGAGATGGGATGTCATCTAGGAAACCAGAGGGCTTTGCTTGTGATTTATACGTGTAGTGATTGAGAATTATATTCCAACTTTGATTATAATCAAAAGAAGAGCATCTGCACACTCCAATCTGTGCAGTATTCATTTCTCGAGGCAGGCTTTTAGTCAGAGACCCTCTTAAAGCATTCTTAGAAATTATTTTCCTATTGTGATTAAGGATGAAATATTCTTCCTATAATTATACTGGACAATAAATTTCAGCTCCTCCGAGCTTCCATCTGTTGGGTTTCAACTATGATTGTGTTAAAATTGTGCTTTTATTTAATTGTTGCACTCCTTATACACAATAAATGAGCAGCCTTTTACATCACTTTATTTTTCAAGCTACAGCAAATCTTATTATGCAAGGATTTATATTACCCAGACAACTAGAAATACTTTCTTCAGGCAATAAAACTACCAGCAAGGCTATGCCAACTGCTAACTGTAATGTATGCAACAGTGACACAATATCCTGCTGTTTTTCAACAACAGGATGTCAAAAACAGGAAAAGTCCTACATTTTAATCACTGGAGGAGCTAATGTGTCCATGCGTCCTACACTGGCCCTGCAAAAATCTATTTCCTCGGGACAGAAATCTGATGCAAAACTATGGTCGAAGTGCATTAAATACAATAACTTACAGTCTTTTGTATCTACATTTTGGTTTGTTGTAATAGATTGCAGAGTTTTGGTGATATAAATATAAGCATCCAGCAGATATACTGTATGTCAATGCATGGTTCTTTACCTTAAGGGGACACGTGTGTTTTCAACATCTCACACTGTCTATTGGCCAACAGTGTAACAGTGTGTACAGTGTACTTCCCAGGTATCCAATGTGAGGCCGCCAGCAGCAGAAAACGAGCATGTGTGCTTTGAATGATGATGATGTGAGGGAGATGTGATGAGCGCTTTGTGCTCCCTGAATGGCAGCGATGAGCCACAATTAAGTTACTGCCATTAACCATCTAAGAGACTTAAAAGGGCAGATGAAATCAGAGCTGACACCCACATGGGAGGCAGAGGACAACAAAGACTAGGTACGACAGGCTAATGGTTGCTAATTTACCACCTCACCAAGTAGTCCTTAATGTTGGAGACATCAAACTTATGCTTAGTTGATTTTGACTTGCAGCTGTTGCGATATTCGGCTATAACATCCATTTATTTATCTTAGTGGAAGAAGAAGAAGAAGAAACAGGAAAAACACTGATGGAGTATAGCTCACCATATCCTTTATGCTTGGTGCTCAAAAGAGGAAGTGCACACAACAAGGCTTCAAACTATACATTATTTAGTTTTTCAAAAACATGGGTTATAGCTGACACTAATGCAACAGGTCTGGTTGCCACCATGCAGGCTATAGTGTAAATCTACATCCTATAGTTTGTTGTCAGCCTCAAAATGAAACTGATTGGATGAGGATCCTCCTGGAGGTTAAAAGCCATTGAGCTTAAAGGAGATGGGGCATTAAATGAAGAGCATTCTCATGACAATACAACAACATGTGAATAATGATGTTTTTTGGTTTCAACTAAAAGCATAAACACTGTTTAATGTTCCCTGTTAAACTCTGTTTAAGGGAATAGAAGGTGTTGTCTGTCGGTTATCACTTCACGTTGTTTATTGTGGTTGTCACGTGAGGCTGACAGCCAATGACAGCCGTGTTCTGCAACCGCACGGCGTGTCATCTTTTTACACACCGACGACCAATCAGCGGAGTCAAGCCAAACACAATGAGACAGGACACTAAGTCGTGTGTTCTTCAAAATAAAAGCACCAAATAGTGTTAGTTTGACATGAATAATGACAAGAGGTGAACAGTTATAGAAACAGTAGAGCACTGGAAACAATCCTATTACCCTTTCTGTAATGTCACCTTTTCATTACACCAAAAGCATGTAATCCAATGTATTCCTCAGTGTTTTATTCAACATCTGTATCCATTATATCAAAGAGAGATAGAATAAAGGTTTAAATCAATCAATACGGCAATCAATAGGGGCACAGAAACACAGTAGCCTATGTGGAATACATGAGGAGGTTGTGAATTCACTGTGCCCGTACAATCATTTGTCTGATACCATTACCCAACAGTGCTTGTTCATTAGACGTGTTTGTAGTTTTCTATTTAATAGAGAAACAATCTCTCATAAAGGAAACCACAGGGATTTGCTTGTGATTTATATTGCATTACATTGCATCTGTATCATTGCATTTAGAGACCTTCTTCAAGCATGGAAATGATCTCCCTATCATTACACTGAACATTGCCTTTGTCTCGTCTTGGTTTATTCATTATCCTTAAGTGTCTGTCGCCCTTGTTTAGGTCATTGTTAATGTTTATGGTCTGATACTGTTTGTTTTTCACAATCCATGATTTGAGTGAAAAACACAAATTTTTAACATGTGAATAACCACGCAGGAGTAAACACTACTGTTGGGACAGAGGGCCCTAAAAAGTTTGGGTCAACAATTTCACGCGTTTGCCAATAAGGCTTTAAATTTGAAACGTCTCACCGGAAGTCTCGCTGCACTCCCTCACTACCTTGACAGGTGTGGATCTGTACATGCTATGGGTTTGATACCGTCCGTCCGGCGGCCAGTACGCTGCTGGTGGGCGCACACGGCGGGTGTTTCCCCGGTTTCACGCTACCCGTGCTCGCGATGTCGTTGATAATGCGCGCGGTGCCGCCGTGTCGAGCGCGCGCCTCTGATCTTAATGGCAGATCGATCGCATTATAGATCGATCGCATCATAGATCCATCGCATTCGCACAGAGGCAAGTTTACCTCCAGCGACCAGAGGAGGGAGGCGGGTATTGCACGGCGGTTCACTCGCTGTACGGTGAGTGGGGATTTTCCGGTGGATCATTAGAGGATCATGCAGAGACTATATATATATATATATA